AGATCAGAAGTGATGAGGCCAACCTCAGCTCAGGGGGGAGAAGATTCCACAATGTGGGCACCACTGTAGAAAAGGCCTGCTGCCTAGGACCTGCCAAATGTAGCTCTCTAGATGACAGATCCTGTAACATGCCCTCTCTGCTGGATCTGGTGGGATGGGCAGATGAAATTGGGGAAAGGTGGTCCCTCAAATAGCACAATCCCTTGCCATGAAGGTCAACACCAGCACCTTGAATTGGACCCAGAAACAAATTGGTAACCAATGCAGCTTGCAAAGCAGAGGTGTAATGTGTGTTCTACAATGATAGATGGACAACTAAAAATGAATGGGAGACCAAAGAAATTTATTTGGATACTTTAAACTACTCTTCAGTTAAAAATCATCAATTGTCTTAGAGAGAACCTCTAAGCATGCTCTATCCATGCTCTTGGATCGGAATTCTAGATAAGTGGCCAGAGCAATGCAGTCCTTAATTTGAGATGTGTAAGACATACATAGCTTAATAAGAAAATGGACTAGCTGCCTTTGCATTCGGTTCCCATGGGCATTCTTAAGAGATAACAAGTTATGAGCAGCTCGATCTCTATGCAGCTGTCCCAAGTGATGAATCATTGAACTGAAGGTAGCAACTTTCTCAGTGAGGTACCTGCTCACACAGGACTGGTTGATGGGGTTAACATATTACACTAAGGCATACCTGTCTGTTCGTCTTTCATTGAATGTGATGGTGACCATGAAGGTGTGTTTATAAAAGCATAACTAAAAACAAAGTATCATTTATCATGAATCATGAACCCAGCTGTTCTTTTCCACACAGTCCAGTTACTGGATCTTTCTGGGCAGGAAAGGGTAGGAGAAGCTCTGAGCATTTCCTAAGCAAGAAACACTGAAGGAATTTTGGTGTATTCCTGTATCCTTGATTATTTGGATATTCGTTTGAGTTTTGATTTCTGCTTTGCACCACGATCCTGTCTCCTGATTTGGTTTTGACTTATTATTATTTATTATATTTGTATGCCACCAAATTATCCAGCTTACAAGAGAGAATTAAAAGTAGCAATAATAGTAACAGTATTGAATATGAACATAACAATGGTGTTGAAGAATCAAACACCAAACACCTTTCAGAAGAGTTCAGCTTTGCTAGCCTACAGAAGAGGTGTAGTCTAACTTCTAGAAGGAGGCTGTTTCAAAGAATAGGTGCCAAAAATAAGATATAAGGCTTACTACCCTTAGCCTGCTTTGCCTTGTGAAAATGGGGCATGTCCAAGTATCATCTTCTACAGGGATTCCTTGGATAAGTAGACACTAATTGGAATAAGTAATCCTTCAGATACCTTGATGTCAAGTAATATAGACTTCTGGTTTATTTGTTAGTCATCACTAGTGGCTTTTCCCACAGGTCCTAATAGTTAGTTCTTCTCTGATGTTTTGGCTAATGGGAATAGACACTCTTTTCTTTGAGAATGCACTGTTGATAATGATTTCTATTTTATTCATTAACAGTGGCTTTATTTTTTGGAAAATAATTTCATACTTTACTCATCTCTCCCCATTTTCTCACATTTTGGGTTGCAAGATTTTGTTTTGTCTTCTTAAGTTTTTTTTCCCTCCAAAGTACAAATCTTAATCTAGTAGAAAACAGAAAATGTAAAAATGACACCTTTCTTACTCAGCAGATCAGATATCTCTAGTGCATTCATCATAATACTGCTTTCTGCAAGAATAACATTTCTGTCAATGGCTTTTAAAGAACTTTCTAACTAAAATATCTTTTCAGCAAGAGACAGTTTGGGGCCTGTAGTCTTGCTCATATAAGTGACAAATTTGAACCCTGCTATATAAATAAAGCCAGTGTAATATCGTAGTTAGGTTGTTGGACTAGGAGTCCCTAGATCCTAATCCACCCAACTCATGGAAGCTCAGTGGAGTGACCCTCAGTTCAACCTACCTCACAGGACTATTGATGTGGAGAAAAGTAGGAGGAGAAGTGTTATGGATGCTGCCTTGAGCTTCTGTATGATTCCAAACTAATAAATACATAAATAATGACGAAATAAAGCTTCATGATAAGGTCCATAATTAGCTTCACCTTGACCCATCTTACCTTCTTTGTATACTCTCCTTTATGCTACAACGGAGAGTTCCCATCAAACATTAACCACACCCTTTTGTAGCTCAGTGTGGATGACAGGGTTCATTATTCCAATTTTTCTTCTTTATTGGGACAGCTGTGGATTGATTTCTCTTTTGCTAAAGGAAAATTAAAGTCTTGAGGGGCAAATTGTATGATATGCTAAATGTGTGTATGCATTTATTGTGACTGGTTTTAATGGCCACATGATAGCTTGATCAGGATTCTGGCATATGGAAAGGATATTTTTTAAAACTCTTTTTTCTACTCCTTAAAAGCTTCAATTTTCTCCAAGGAAGGAATTTGACGGTGATGTCTATGGCAGCTTCCCACCCATCTCCCAGTCTGGGAAAAACAGTGCACATCTGAAGAATCATCTATTTGGCTTGGTTTTTACTGAGCGTGCACCACATGTGGGAAGAAACAGTGGGGCGGAAAGCATCACACCTGTCTTAACTAGCAACAGGGAATAATTTGCTTGCTTTGCATTTTAATCGGAACATATGTAAACAGCAGTTTACAGTTCTTGAATTTATATGGCTGGAATGCAAAAAAAAAAAAAAAAAATTACCCTGCAGTTCTCAGCTGATTCCAGACTGGTAATTTGGCAGCACTCTACACCGTAAATGTCCAATGTTCTCTCATTCGGAATGAAAACTCATCAGCACCATGACAGTTCTTACTTCTGGGATTTAATTAAGTCACATTATTTGGAAACAGTCTGTTTATCTACTATGATCAACTGATACTAATCTGCTAGAGCCTGGCTCAGAATATAAAATACACAGTGCTTCTGAGGAGTTAAAAATCTCACTTCAAAATTTGGTGATATTTCCTCTTTTCAAGTTTTCACATACATTTATCATTGTCAATGACCTGCTGAGAAACTCATAGGAATAGCAATAATAATGGAACATTTCTTCCTTAGCAAAAATTTGGAGCCGCCTTTTTTTGCTCAATTTCTATTTCTTACATCTTATTTAAGAGTGTGCATTTTAATGATTTTTCCTATTAATTGCACTGATAGGACTTCCTTTTACATTAAAATGCAGAAAACCCAGCTAACTAATCAGAAATATTCCTTTGATTTTGTTATTAATGTAAGTTTTGAAGTTCAAAATCAAAGTGGCATTCTTTTTTTTTAATCCTTAGGCTTATTTACTACTTCAGGATTTCTCCAATGTAAGAAGGTTTACTGTGAATGTGGAATCCTAAAATGCTATACAGAATTTTAAAAATGATTTAAAGCAGAAGGTATTTAGTTTTACAGTATATTATTACTTATTGGTTGTTTCCCCATTTTTCTAATGCCCTCTCATAACATGCAGGAATAATAGAATCAGAAAAGCCATCAACACATTTTGGTTGATGACAGTGTAGTCCACATGCTTTAGCAGCCTCAGAAATACCTAAAATACTTGGATGTTTAAGAGAAACTATATTTAAAGTAAAACCAACAATTTATTTTTTTTATCAGAAATTAAATAATATTATTAAGGTTAATATTGGTAGTATTTATGATCTGTGGAACAAGGCATTGCAATATCCAGTTCTGGAAAATCAATAAAACCAAGTTTAAAGAAGTGTTTCTTATGATTTCATGACAAAGTTAATCCATCTGAAAATGTTATTCGGAGTCTACTGTACACCTCAAAGAATGTTTAAGAAAGAATTCTTACAGTACTTAATGTGGGATAACCTGGAAGAGGGAAGTGTTACATATATTGCCTTGAACTCGTGAAGGGTTTACTCATTTACAAATGAGTAAAAGGTATAAAATTGATATACTTAAATGTGAGCATAATATAGAGAAATAAAATATTGCAATGAATATGCACATTAAACTATATAAGCATATTATTTATCAAATAAATAAATGTCTTTACGCTCATTGTTATATCACATAACAAACTTGATCCTATGAACAGGTACAAAGTGTGAGAAATATTTCAGACTGTTATTTTTCAGTCAGCATCCAGTACTCTGTATACAACTTATCTCTACATTCATACGCTATTACTGTCTTCGATACACAAAATAATTCAGTAGATTTTTTAACTTAGTTTGGTATCTACCTTATCTTGTATTTTATGTATAGTAGTGGATCTGGAAAAGTGTCTAAGCGGCCAATGTTTTTACAGGAAAGTAGTTCCAGAAGCCTGATTGATCAGGAATTCTCTCTTTTTTGAGCCTTTTTTTGAAAGGTAAAAATCCAATGGAACAACAACAGCAGGTGTTTCTTCCATATTTCCTTCAAGGCAGTTCTTCATTATGTTAATTCAGAGATATTGCAACTAGGGTAAGAGCTAGATTTAGCTATATAAACATACTTCTCATCAATCATCTTTTTTTCATCCTTCCTACTAGTAGCATCAGTAAATAATATCCTCTGCGAAGAAGACTGCAAAGAGTTCAGACTTTGAAGTTGGCTAACAAGAATAATTATACCTTAAAGACTGGGCAGCATGTAGTAGAAAGAACTCATATCAATAAGTAGAACAAGTTAAAATGGCTGGATCTGACTGAAAGTATTCATAGCATACTTTGGGGTTAAAAAGAAAGCAGTCATGAAAAACCTCATTTATCAAAACTTATTATAGAAGCTGCTTCTGTATTTAGCAATTTTCAGGCCTCTCATGGCTCCCATTTTTGAATTCCTTTCAACTCTTCTGCATTTTTGAAATTTCTGTTAAATGGTTTTCAATAAGCAAATCTTCCACTCACAGATAGCTGAAAATCTATATACACACCAGCTGGCATTTCTGCATCCAGATAAGACTCTATTTGAATGAATAGGTAGATTTGGTTTTTAAGCGCACCTTCTAAAAATATTGGAAGTAAAAAGGGTGTTCAGCATAATTCCTACCTTCACTTTGATCACAGAAGAAAACATTCTAGCATCTTCAGAGACACCTCCTATATAAAGTCTTTTTGTGAAGACAGGAGCATGATCATTTTCATCCTGAACCTCAATGAATATCTTAGCAGTATTGCCTAAAAGTAAAAAACAAAGGGTTAACAAAATCAGAATACACTAAATGCTTTAAGTCATAGCCGTTTCTGTTCTAGATTCTGTTAGTGAAGCTGTAAAGAAAATTGCCACATATTTACATTTTTGGGATCTGTCCATAATTAGTCCGTGCTTTTGGTCTAGAGTTTCTGAAGAAACAAAGTCTATATTTTGCTCAGTGGCACTTAAACAAAATTGCTTTGACCAAAAAATTAACACAAGAAAGAG